GTGAAGTCAATTATTACTGCCAGGTTTAGTGACATCCTCACACAATCAGCCTCAGACCATTTGCTTTATAATTTCGTAGGAGCTGGCACATTACTTTTCGGTTGAGGGTCTGTGGTTAATGCGCCCATGATATCAATCGCAATCTTCTACTATGGCTTCATTGAGTACTTGACAGGCTGCTTTTGAGGGTCCAACGACATTACAGTTTTGGTAGATTGCTGGCGGGTTTAGCATTCCCGAACAATGGCCTGAATGCTCGCATTCAAGTTCGGCCACGGGTAGTATTTGTGTACCAAGGATTTTGTTCCCACCATGCCTGGTTTGCCTCCACGGGCTTATTCAAACAGTGCAGGCGTAATTGTTTTATGTATAATATACTGTTCACGGCTCACAATACATTTGTATACAGAACTCAAGTCTTTCCAGAATGTTGGAAATGTGAGTAACTCCGGTTGCTTTTCATGCAGTTTGGCCAAGTGTAGCCAACTATTGACGGAATTTTCCCGGCACTGCATCATGTTACTTGTTCACTCTTTTCCGGTGAAGTTTTATGCCGGAGGGCGCTCCATTTGAGGTTTATGTTATTAACTTTATCCCTTCAAAATCTTGTGTTGCCCCTTCTTTTTTATACCTTGGTCCCGCAGGTGATTGCGCAAAGGTGTTCCAACATCCTGGATTATATTTATTTCCATAGTCGATGTTTTGTAGAAGTGATTATTAAAGAGTTAATCGCACCGATTTTTGCCTCATGTTTCCGCGATCAGTTATGATTGTATTTGTTGTTTGCTTGGTGCTCCTTCGACGCCCAGCTTCGTAGAAATACCATTTCACACATTCTTATGTACATGCAAATTGCCTCCGTTTGGGCAACGGAATAACTCTTATAACTAGTCGACAGATTTCACACGGCATTTGCTATTACATTCTCCCCACTACAATAATACTAAGACAGAAATAAGCCTAGCTCAACATTCAAAATTTCAGTTGATACACGTTGTACATTGTTCACTAAGGTTCGCTGCGATGATGAACACAACCGTAGCCTATGCGTTCAGAAAAGAATATTCAGTATCAGTGAACCACCGCAACGACCAGTTGCAGCCGCAGCCTCCGCAGATTCTACCAAAATTCTCTTTATTCAGTTAATAGTTACACAGACACAAATTATGTTGCAGTTCTGGGTCAGTAAACGGTTGTGTATATATAAGCACTGTTCTACGTTTCTTCAATAATCCTTATACCATAAGCGGGAATGATATGCTCAACATACACCAGTTCCATGAAAGGGAACTTGCGATTCCTGTATTCTGGAGACGTTTTAGTTCACTCAGCCTTTGAAAGACGTTCTTATGGTTTTTCTTGTTCTAACGGACCAAAATAAAACACAGAAACCTCGTGCGTTTGTATGGCACATCCTTTGACGTCAGAGAAGAAGAGAGCAATGAAAGTATACCACACGGCTATCGCACTGACGAGGCCCAAGTAAAAATCATGTACTGGTATAAGCCAACTTGTACGAGGAAACCTGCCAAGTTTCCGCAGTCTGGAGTCAGGTGCATGTGTAAATATGTATTTAAAGAGCAAGTTTTAGGAAACCTAGACACCGCAAAGTCTAACCATCAACTCATTGATAGAACCGCTGTGAGTCTACGGATAATAACATGTCTACTATTTATATGTATTCGGTACATACTCGCATAGATCTACCCGTCTTTTGAATTGCAATCAGTGCTTGAATATATTCGGACACTGTATCGGCTCTTTTCATACTTCGTTCACAATACCATTTTAATCTTTTTACAACGACCATTTGAATCGCTGGTAAATGTGTACAGGGAAGGGCGCAGAAACAAATGGGCGAAATATTGTCTGTAAAACATATAGCGCCATCATATATGGCGATGCTAAATAAAGCTCCATTTCTAGAGGATTGTTATTCTTCGTATTTAATGGAGCACATCAAATGTCAGATAGGGATGTTATTTCATGAGAACACAAATAAGTCGATACCCAAATTTATCTAACTCTAAATGCAGCGTCTTCACCGGTGGCTATAGTAGCCGTAGTAGCACTGTGGACACTTCAAGGCGCGAAATAGTATGAGAGAGACAAGGTCGGGCAACATGACCCTAGTTACAGCAGACGCAAAAAAGCAATTTATTTGCAGATCACGATCTACAGTTTGCGTTGTGTTCAATATTTCCACAAAAGAAACCGTTTAATCTGCACATATCTTAATAGAATGTGATGAATCTAGGCACCCAGTTTCGGGGGCGACAGCTTTGAAATGTACAACCTTTGGTTCATGGACTGCAAACACCGAGCGAGATATATTGCAAGCCCTGCCCCAGTAGACTTTATTCGTATTCACAATTAATAGTCTCTTCCGGACACAATAATCCGACGGTACTGATAACAGTTTTATGAATGCATATATTCTTAGTTTTTTAGTACAATGTCATATTTGCAATTGGTAACAAAACTTACAAGGTAAGACATGGGATTATCCAAGTTTTCAGAGGTTGTATGAGTTCAATGCAAAGACTTTTCGCTGAATGTGTATGAATTCATGATAACTCACCAATGCTTATCCAACATTGCTAAGGCGTCATTTCAGGTAGGCGTCGCTGGAAGTCTGAGATTCGGCGACATTATGATCTCAGGTGCAATCACACAACTTTTAGTCTTCTCTGTTTTCATCGTCATACATGAAATACAAACTGGCAATACAGAATAAAAGTGCGTAAACCTGCTTTTCCAACCTTGTAAAGAATCTGCATTTGAGCTAGTTGCGGAAACGATGCGGAACTGAGCAGGGGCAGAAGTATGCAGCGAAACTGCAGCTCGCGACGCCAGTTTGTTGTATCCGAAGAAGTAGGGTAGCGAACTTGTACTCGCACGATTATATAGACACAAACATTTTAAGGTACAAGGTTTTCAGTATATGGCGACATGCATATGAACTTACTGTCGAATCAATCAAACAGAAGCAAAGACATTCTTAGTCCAATAAATCCTAACGGTTGCGAGTTGTGAAAATTAACCAAAGGCATGAGTGTTTGAACGTGGCAGGAGCACCACGTTTTCAATTTGGTGACCGAAGAATTCCCCGAACGCGGCGGTTTTGCTGAAAGCGTTTATCCACCACTAGATTGACATCATCAGTGCGCTAGTATGTAGCGCAGCGTAGCGGCATGGTGCAAAGCATTAGTGAGTGCGTGTGTGGGTGATCGATCTACTTGGTGGAACAGCCGTCAGTAAGAATTGCTAGATTAAATGGTCAGAGGACCAACTAGATTGCTTCCTCTTGAGGTTGACATGCTTGCACCCACAGTTGACATCGTCGTCCAAACCGTAAGCCTGGCGTTTTGTTTCGTTAGATTTTTGTTTATTAAGTTGATTATTTTCATTGGTATTTCTGCGTAACCTGAATCTATTTCCATGAGTCATTTGACAGAATTAGCTGTTAAATGACAGGTTTTCAAGAACTCTATAGCTCGCCCCAAATTTCCACCTGCTAGACTCTTCGCGTTCGCTGAGATGAATTAATGACCTAATTGAGCTTCTTGTATGGAGAACAGTACATGTGGGTCTCACCCTATGTCTTCGTTTTTTGGGTTATCCGTATTGAAAGCCGTTATCGTTTGACCGATGAAGTTTGTGTCCTATTCTTTGCAGTCTATTTTAGATAGGGAATGTTTGACTGCCGTTTTTGAATTGTCTTTCGGTGGTGGAAGTATTCCCCTTCATTTAGCATAAAGTTTATATGATTTTAAGATTCTATGTGTCCGTAGCAATCATATCCTTAACTCAAAGACGTTCTTAATTTAAGGGACCATTTTTATTTATCTTGGTTATTAAAGCACTATTCATAACAGCGCTCATTAAATCACAACAGATAAAAGCTGCTTTGAAATACCAGGGATATATGGTTCTCTACCTTCTTCCTCATTTCCGACGCCCTGCAGTTTTTCGGCTCGTTTGCAAAAGTATTGAATACCGCACTTTTTGCATTTTGATGAATAGTTTTTGTGGTCTGTGTGTGCCTTCTCCCTATGTACGCAAGTTGGAATTTACCATCATTATTCCTGTGAAGTAATTACTTTAAGCATGGTATTTCGGAGTTCACCAATTAGTTGGTATAGTTGATATCTTCTGCGCTGCTTTTAATAAGATAATGTGCATTTTGCTTGGAATATCACTGCATGATGACAAATCTATCGTTTAAGTACCGGATCGGTTTTATACGGCTTCTGATGCCGGACGGAATGAAGTAGAAATCAAAGCACCTAGATTGCTGGTTACGAATAAGCATAGCTTTCATTTCATTACGTCGGACATTCTCTATTTGACTTTTGAAAATTTAGCTAAATGTTTAGCTATCAACTACAAGTCGTAACTAAATATTTTGTGATGTACCGTATTTAAACTCTTATGCTTGAGTATTGAGGAGCGCAAAATTAGCGCCGATGGCGTTTAGACAAGCAATAGTCGATTAGAAACGTATAAAGCCCTAATACAGATTGATACTACTGAGCTAAATTTCAAGTTTAACATTCTTGTGATGTTAAATAAAGATATAAGTCATCAACCAGCGGCTAGTTTTCTAAGCCTTTAAAAATATTCACTCGTAATTATCCAATATGCTTTGACTAAACCGGGCTTACAGCATCCGGATTGCTCTCTGTCTAGGAGTTCTTCGACACCAATACCATCCAACACACATTAGCCTCGATGAGTATTCTGGCGGAAATCACAAAACTCGGAAGCCGGGTAGTGAATTCAGAGCCGATTTTCTATACTACACTTTTATACCTTCCTCGGTTTGTTGCAGATTTTCTGTCTTATCAAAAGCGAGGAAAAGGAAAAGAAACCGTTTATTTGCCTTTCAGGAAAACTAGCAAAATTGCACATGCAATGTTAATTTGTTGCGGAATTGGGCGTCAGAAAAAGCGAGGAGCAAACCACTATCTCTAATTACAATTAATGGTTCATCTCGTTTAACTAAAAGGAACTAACAACTCACAAATGAAGATAGCAACGAGAAAGGTGATGGGGAATTTGATCACGGCTTTTGTAGCTAAAACACGAGAGAAGCGATATAATCATTGTTGCTGCCGGCGCATCGATAGACACACATGCAAAAAGAATGTTGGAGTTTGCAACGTATTAGCACGTATAATTCATGTCTTTATTAAAACATACCGTGTGATACACAGTAATTTGCTACTAAGCGTGATTAGGTCATTTGTGTTATCGAAACAGCCCGTCTACATTTTCTGCTGTCTTAGCGAAATGTGACACCAATTGTCTCGAAATCTACACGTCTTGTTCAAAGCAAGTTACTTCCAAAATCAATCAAACTACACGAAGCAAGCAAGTGAATTTTCTAAATGATCTATCCGCCAATTCACCACAGGGAGACGCTATCATCAAGAGAATTCGCAAAGATCAATATCATTACAGCCAAACTATGCATATGTAGGTGCCTTTGAAATAACAAGAGAAAATACACAAAAACTTATGAACAATGAGTAAACGGCTAATGGTGATAGACGAATGACTATGTAAAACATAGAAAAGGAAACCTACAGAAGACACCTTTCTAAGGAGAATAAATATAGGCCTACAAGCATCACTGTAAGAACGCAATACAACAAGTCATGGGTGCGTATAAAGTGACAGCGAGATAAATGATAAACATGGTAAAAAATGATTGTCGCTTATTACAGTAAATAAACCGATGAAATTTGGACAGTTTTTCATTATTGTAGAATTAACAAGGAACATTGAATTTATACGGGTTAAGAAGCGTTGCTTACTGAGTTCGTTGGAGAGTCGGTTGGCATATCGAAATAACAATAGTGATAGTAATGTTAGTAAAACAAGTATTTAATGAAATAGGAAAATAAGGACTTATCGTTTGCTCCTCCGTAGTCCTGCAATCCACTTAGTTTTACAGCACCCAATTTAACATCATCTAATTCCACAGTAAAATTCAGGCATTGTATGGAGACGCAGTACTAAGTGAACTAGTGTAAGTGGATGAGTGTGTCATCTAATCATCTTTATATACTTTAATATCGGTGCAGAGGCGACAGATTCTGGGAGAGCGTTCCACGGGTGACAGACACGGAAGGAAAATTCTATGTGGCATTCCAAGCGGTCATATTGTGAAAACAGTTTCCATGTGTTGTCCCATAGGGGTTTATTGGTGATGAATCGCAGTAAATGGCGGCACACATGATGTGTGTCTCACAGAATCAAGTATACTATAATCAGGTCACCTCATAATCTGCGGTAGCTTCCACTGAACAATCCCAATCGTTGCAGTTTCTCCCGGTATGAAGGAATGCGTATTCCAATTAGGTTCTTAAATGCCCTAAGTTGTTGCTTCTCCAGTGCATTAAGGTTGTGTTTCAGCCATGGAAGCCAGGCTTGAAATGTGTATTCAACATGGGTCGAACATACGCAGTAAACATTTGTCGAAATATGGAGCTGTTTATTTGTCCAGACGCCCGTCGAAACAGTCGGCGTGTTTGATCCCAGCCTTTGAGACCTTCCTGAATTATCTGGAGCAACCAAAGTCTTTTTGAACCAGGACACCTAAGTCACCATCGCCAGCTGATGGTTTTAGTACATTTGTTCCGAGCCGGTATGTTCGCTGCTTCGATGTCGGATAAAAAGTACCTTGCATTTACTGACGTTGAATTTCAGTAAATTTTGAGATCACCAACGATAAGCCGTATCTAGGTCACTCTGAAGCAGATGCCGGTCAGCGTTCGCCTGGATCAGGCGCCAGATCTTGAGATCGGCGGCAACCAATAGGAAGTTTGAATCGATTGCCTGTGTAAGGTCATGAATAAACACCAAAAACAAACGTTGGCCAAGAACTGAGCCTTGCGGCACACAACACGCTACTTGTATGGGGTCCGATTTAGAGCTCCGAAATCTGATCACTAATTTCCGTTAAAGTAGCAAGTTGACAATCCAGCTTATAATATGTCGGCGATCCCTTAATGCTGGAGCTTGGAGAATAATACCTGATGGTCTGGAAAATCGAACGCTTTCGATAAATAAAGGTAGACCACAACAGGTCCTTCTCCAGTGTCAGGTGACTGGGTCCAACTAATGTGTTCGATTAGCAAACTCGTCGTACATAACCGCTATCAGAGGAAACCGTACTGCTTTTGACGGGATAATGTTGCAGAATTCCAGAACTCACAGCAATATATACGCCAGTCATAATCGCAGTGTGTTTTAACGCTTTGTTTAGAACAGCAAATATACATAGGTTATATAGATCGAAGGAAGCCAGTCTCATCGTTTCGAACATAGATAATGCGGATAATAAACTTCCTCTAATAAAAGCCGTCATATCGATAACCCTTCAAAACCGAACTGGAGAAATCGGCGCCAAAATAATTGTTCCACAACAACAGAGCCACTACGTTTACAAGAAGTAACATTCCTAATGTGAAAAATATAAATTAGGTAGCAGAAATCCGGAACTGGCAGGTAGCTGACTGATTTATAAGCGAATTTAGAAATTTAGGTGTCATTTAACATAACATGTTTGCTAAAAATAAAGAATGTATTTGGAAAAGGTGGTCTTAATACTCAGTAAATTTGTAACGCGATTATACTGCTTAAAAGAGAACACTTACAAAGAAATTGAACCAAATATTACGCTATTCGGATGTGCAAAATTGCAGGTAGAGAACACAGAAAACTGGAAGACATAGCCCAAATGCCAGTTAAAGGAATATAAACGAATTACATGTAGTTGAAAACATAAGTTCACGAGCGCTAGGTTTTGCATTCTAATTTCAAGTGGAAGAATAAACTTTATTTCCTTTAAGGAAATATTCGGAGCAGATTCACCTATGCCAACAGCGCCAAGGACAAGTAACCGTGAGAAAAAGCAGTTAAAGCACGCGCAGCAGATGTGGTTGGAAAGAAAACAAGTTTAGTGACCGGTAGGCAATAAAATAATTTAGAGGATACAGAGCAGATACGCACGGTGGGCCAATGTAACCTAAAGTATGTTTGATGCAATTTCCTAGTGCTTACTGCGGATTGGTTGATGCAATTAGATTCTATAATTGCAGTATGTGCTATTCTCTGACTACGGAAGTATCCTATACAACTTATCGTTAAATGGTTTACAAAAATATGGGAGCAAATGACGCTCACCTCCATCGGTGGGTTTCATTGAACCACCTGTGGTAGTCTTGATCAGCGTTGTACCCATCCCGTTGGTTGTGGTGACCTCCGGTAAAACTAGATACAGAGGAATTGAAAACATTACAGAAGTAGTGGTTTTGAAAACAACTCTCTCATTACCAATTTTAAGCGCGGGTTTCAGGATTCTTAAATCCATGGTAAGGATGGCAAATTTCAGCGGTTGCTTGCAGTCATGATTCTGAATTTAGCTTTGAAAAAAACTTTCCCAAGTTGATGGTTGCCGTTATGAAAATTTAGCAGATCATTGTGCATCTTAAAATAATGCCATTTATAATTTCGACCGGCATGCTACCTGTAAGTGGCTTACTTAAAATACCTGTGGCGTTGCATATGACACTAACTAAGTTGCAAGATGGAAATCTCTCTCACGTCTTTAGATGATAAAGTATTTTTCTCAAAAATGCTTGTGAAACATAGAGTGTATGTATAAAACTTGATGTAAATTCGGTTCTAATTTCTCTCTGGTAGGTAACATGAAACATATCATTGAGGTGCTTTTATGTGTGACGGTATTTACCATTGTCTAAACAGTGCTAATACGGGAAAATAAGTTTGTTTTAGAAAAGAAAAAAAACAAAACTACGACTTTGTAGCAGCTTATTTTAATGGACACCAAACTTTCTCTTATAAACAAATTCGCTTTTTCCCCATGCTGGTTTTAATGGGTTGATGAGAAATGCGCTAGTTTGTTGAGTAAAAATACCAGGTGGAGGTCACGTTTAACTGAGTAAATGTTATGTGTTTCATAGATTAGCTTCGTGTTGAAAACGGCACTATAACATTTTTCGGCCAAGTGGTCCTCTTGGGCAAAAGAATTAATCTGAACAGGTAAGGAGTTGCGCTGAGGGGTATACAACATGAGTCTACTCAATTAATTTATGCCGTGCGTACGCCACTTACTTGTGCAGGTGTGTAGGTGTGCTTGTATAGCTCGTCGCCTTCAGCCAATTGGGCCTCAGGCGCACTAAGTCATAGGTGTGCAGCTGGGAAGCTTCAGCACATACCAGGGACAGTGTCGCTGGCCGATGCACCAGGTTGGACTTTGTTTCTCTGTCCTAGGAAGTGATTTCCACCAATAAGAAGGAGTGTAGGTATTTGAACGACGATTTGCTTGTTATAACGAGCAACAGCCAAATAATTTTGCCGTATGTTTTGAATATGCAGTTCACCTAAACTCAAGGGTTGGCTTGTATTTTCGGCACTCTAGGAATGTGAAGAACGTCCTGCTGAAAGCGTACAAGAAAGGCGACGATTGGAAGCAGGTCACTTTCATACTGAAGGTGAACCTAAAACCTTGCCGCAACTGGATACAGGTGTAGGAATCGACGAAACCGGTGGGGCAGCGTGAGGGAGTCCGTCGCAGAGCACTGGGAGAAAGCCACGTCGACTCTTTGATGGAGTGGGTTTCTGCGGAGCCTACAGTTTGCGGTTGAACGCGGAGTTCAAACGTTCAGTAAGTACCATCACCGTCTCACTATACTTGGATGGTTGAAAATGAAGAAACTACACATAATTCCGGAGTCCATGAACACGCTGGAGAACAAAATCTATGCAGGTCATACGTTTTGCAGCTCATGGATTACGAGGTGGAAGGAAAGCAACTGGTGTGGATTGTTGAGACCAAATGCAACTTAGTTTGCTTCCGCCCTCGTGGCCGCTCTCGACGTGGTAGTCGAGCGCAGTGTACAGTGGCAAGCAGACGGGGACCGAATGTCTATCTTGTCAGCGCTATGACAAACAATGGCTTGATAGCGTGTTGGGTTCTAAGAGAAAGTTACATCAAGTAAAGTTGCGCTCAGTGGCTGCGACAAGTGCTTGATACCAATGGAGCAGGGTTTCTGGAAAGGTGTCATTTGATTTGTGACGACGCACCCTGTCACAGGCACCTGCAGCAAGTTTTGCTGGAGAAACGGTACCGCTCTGGGAGACTTTTACGTCTTGCGCCATACTCACCAGCTCTCAATCCCATCGAGGGCGTCTGGAGCAGAATATACGCTTATGTAAAACAGCCAATGAGGGGGTGGTAATTAGAGATGCTCTTGGCGGCTCTTGAAGACATTATGAATAAAAGCGAGTGGCGGATTCGCTTTTTGGAGCACGCGGTGTCTGAAGCACGGGCCTTAATGACGCAGCAGCACTGCCAACAAATGATGCAACATGTCAGTAAGAAGTATGGACGTGTTGTTTATTTGGCCGATCTGTAAAACATTCTGATGGCAGGAAATTACCTGTTCTAAGCGAGTGTTGTTCTTACATTTTTATGATGACGGGTCAGTGTGCACTTTTTACTCTGCTAGAAATAGCCAGTTCTTCAATCGGGGGAACATCGTGGATTTGCGTTATGTTGGTGCATGTGGTCGCGTCGCACACTGATTTTAGTGGCCGCGTTGCGGAACAATCATGTGGAAGCTTGACAAACAGATGCCACTCTAACACGGTTTCGTAACAAGTAATTATGTTCTACCGCCTGCCGTTGATTGTGTTTGGAGAGCCAGTGGATAAGGACTTCGATAAGGGCATAATAAATGCAAAAATTGAACAATGCAGACTTGACGTACATGGATAGTGTGTTTGGCCTTTTGTCTGAATGCTTAACCCGTTACATCAAGGCACGCGGCTGGACGCTGTATGCGGAAACGCAGAACATGTAGTACAAGCACAACTAACATTTATCACGTTCTCTAGAGAAATATTGCCCTATGGGTATTTGTCAATTGTGGGACTGTATTCGAACACACCACATAGTTGAGGTGAGAGGATCATTGAAACTGCAAATAAAATCTACTCGCTTCGGCGATTCACATTTACTCGTCGGGTTTCAACATCTGCACAGAGATGAGTGGCCCCGCATGAAGCAAACCAATCCGTGCGTTAATATGGCATTT